GTCTCTTTTTGACAAAACCTTTACGGGCATGTTGTAGCTAAGAGACGAAAAAATTTCACCGCATAAACAAAATTATTTCTCTTTCATGGCTGCATTTTTTTGTGGTCATCCTTGGAGATTTATCCTCACCCATCCCCTGCCTTTCGTGTTAAACTTTTCGTCACCCGTTATGGTATAAATTTAGGGAAAACTTACAATGATACAATCGCCATTACAATTACTTCGTAAGAAAAGTTTATTTATAAACTTATTTTTAAGTCCATCATTCGTCTTTGTTTTGAATATTGCTGCTACATTTGGTCATTTTGCCTTTAAAGATTTTTGAAAAATTCCAAAGAGGCATTGGAAATGTTATTGGTCCTGACCTGGCATCTCGGCTTCAGTCATTTTCTCACCGCCGTAACATAGTGTTATACCTGAACGTACCTATTCAATTATTAATAGACTCTCCCACACATATTAAGTAGTAGTAGTAGTAGTAGTAGTAGCGGTCGCCAGTTGGGCTCAGTGGTGTTGAGTGAGTCAGTCGATGTCGGACATTGAAGTATCAACCATCACAACTAGATTGCTGCGTCATTAACTCTTATTTCAAGTTCCTAACGTTTTGTACGTTGGGCCCATTTAGGACTGACTTAGCGAGATACAAGCCTCCACTGTGGAAACTACTTTACAACACATAGCTTCCCTCTGTCTTTTCTATAAATACTGATATGTCCCGAAAAGGGATATATTTGATCGAAGTAGCTAAGTGGTTTTGGCTACTGTAACCAAGTAGTGCACGGTAACAGTAATCGACTGGTACTCGTCGTCGCAGGTAATAAGTGTAGACCAATAGGATAGTCAATGGCGTAGTCCAATGGGCGTCGTCATAGACTTAAACTCTGTCGTACCTACACGTCCGTCTGTATTTATGACGGACACCAGACAATTATATTCCAGTGATGGGGTATGCATATTCCATTATATCAAATACTTTCACGATAATTGTTCTGATGAGTTTTCCTGTATGGTACCTCGATTTTATGAATTTAAATGCAATACTAGATTTGCAGCAAGGTTTGATCATTTTACATTTGAAATGATGTAACCGTAAGTTCTATGTTAACAGTTTCTTCTCTGTCACTTCTCACTTGTGGAACTCTCTTCGGGCTTCTAGCTTCCCAGTCAAATTTGATCTTCAAAAATATAAATGTAACGTCAGTCGTTGCCTTCTGTTTACTTAGTGTTCTTTTATTGTCTTCTCTCTTTAATAGTAGATTTTCTCATATTATCTTACACTCAGTAACCCATTGCATCCTAGTGGCTTTATTGTCTTGCGTGAGGTGAAATGATTAAAAATTTCTTAAACGAACAGTAACTTGAGGTGAGAAATAGACCCTTTCTGACAATCGTAAAACGATCGTCTCAATGATCTGATGCTGACGAAGTACTCGAAACTTCGCAAAACCGAAATTGCACCAACAAATGATTACGGTACATATGTAGGGATCATCGGCACCGGAAACATGAAATGCGCATTTATTCATCTATAAGCTGGAACGTGTCCATCAAAATTTTGTGAAAAACGCACTGCGATCCTCTATAGAGAGAATGGCGGTTTTCCTACATGATAACGGAGAGCCGTATCTAGCATCACAGAAAAAACTAATTTGGAACTTTTTTTTATCAACTCCTTCACTCCCACTTGTAATCGCTGTTGATTATAGAACAACTTATTTAATATATTGAACTTGGTGTTTGACTGGATTCGAACTCACCTCTCCGATTTCCTCAATTCGAGTCGGTATCCATTACTCCACCTAATTACAAGGAAAAGATACTAAGTCTATTCGTAAAATATTAAATTTAAGAACCTTACATTATTTTTTATTTTTATAATCTAAACGAGTTAAAGTATAATTTTTATAGCTTTACTTAATTATATAGAAAAGCTATAAAAATCATAGTTTAACTCGTTTAAATTGTAACACTAAAGAAAATAAGCAATAAAAGTAATGTTAGGTTCTTACATTTAGTATTTTACATATAGACGTATTTTTCTATGCGCGATGGAATCGTACGTTCTTTGCACCAGGTTGTTAGCATTTTTTGCCTGTTTTCTCATCAAGAAATGTGCATGCAGGCTTAACAATATCTTTAGTTTGGTTTCCCAGCTTCATTTGCAGGAAAGTCCTCCCGGAAATGACGTAACCTCATGAATATTAGTAAACAGTAAGCTCATGAAACTTAGCGTTGGTGATTAGCTATTTAAAATCAGATCTTTATAGCGCTTTCGGCTGCACTTTTAGCCATTATTAAGGATGATTTTTATTATTAATTTTAACTGAATGGATGTATTTTTTGTGTATGTATCTAGAGTTATTTGGAATGTTTTATAATCATAAAAGTATAGTCGAAAGCACTCGAGCATGCAAAACATTCGGATTATTTCTATATAATAAAAGTATATTGTACAAAACAAGAACACAAGAAAAATGAAAAAAAAAAACAAAAAAAAACTTAACTCAGGATGTTATCAGTCGTTTTTAATAAAACATAATAAAACTTAATATTTAACTCGGTGTTCCAAACACTGCATACCGATAACGTTGGGTTCAAACGTTAACTTGGCCACATTATAGGCCAACATATTCAGTTTTTCTTTTCTCTACTTCTAATAGGGAGTTGGTTTAAATTACTTTCTATGACCGGCAGCGATTTTTTTAAAAAATTTCGCTTTTGCCAAATTCTTAGCAAGATTAAAATCCTTTTTGTGCAGTTAATGGATAATCCTTGTTCATGTTGTGACGAGGTTGCTAAAAGTGTCGAACAGGGCCAGTGTTGCTTTGAAGTTCGTAATGGAGAATTAATGGTGAAATTTCGCGCGTGAAGAGGATGCATTTAATACGTGGCGATACAACAATTCGTCTTCTACTTTCCCATCTCTGCCTGAAGAGTTAGCATCGGTAATTATATGTTGAAAACGTGGCAGACGTTTATTGAAAAGAGATCTAGATATTTCCGCGTGTTAATTTTGAAATAGCATTTTATAAAAAGACTCGTCTAGCCAAAAAAAAAAAAAAAAAAAAAATTCCGAACACGTATTTAAGAATGAAAAGATTTCTCAAAGAATACTTGACAGAATCAATACTCTAAGCCTGTCGGATATTTAGCAATCTTAAAGTAGTTGCAAAAAGACGTTTTCATGAAGGAGACATGTGAAAATGTCAATAAATGTTCATTTTTTTTTGCAAAGCGTAGCGTTGGTAGGTGCTTTCAGAACACGTGATCTTCATATATAAACAGTGTCCATGAACCCCCCCCCAATCATAACATCATATCTAGATTGTTATCATATAGACGAACGTGCAAGTGAGATAGCGACAACGTGCACGAGAAACGGTTAAAAATGTAAAAGTAAGCCATTTTAAAAATTATGTGCTATGCGTGATACACGCTTAGGCGATCACGTAACTTTCGAGACAGATTTTTCCCGCAGTAGGTTGCCATTTCTTTCTGCAGCAGACCAGTTGCCATGCTGGTTATAGAACCCTGTCTGTCCAGCTATTTAACTAAAGCTAGGTGGGTGGCGAAGAAGAGGGTTCATGCCTTTCGAATTCTTCGCAATATATTAAATTTAAGTGTATTAGCACGTAAATGAATATAACGGATTTGATTGAATTCGACTCTCTGATTCCCTCAGTTCGAGTCGGTATCCATTACTCCACCTAATTATATAGAATGAATACGACGTTTCTTCGCAATATATTAAATTTAAGGGTATTAGCACGCAAATGAATATAATGGAGCTGACTGAATTCGAACTAGCTTCTCGGATTCACTCAATTCGAGTCGGTATCCATTACTCCACCTAATTATATAGGAAGGACACGACGTTTCTTCGCAATATATTAAATTTAAGGGTATTAACACGTAAATGAATATAATGGATTTGACTGAATTCGAACTCGCCTCTCTGATTCCCTCAATTCGAGTCGGTATCCATTACTCCACCGAATTGTATAGAAAGAATCCAACGTTTCTTCGCAATATATTAAATTTAAGAACCTTGCACTACTTTTATTTGTTTTTTCTTTATTTTAATAATCTAAATGTGTTAAACTATAATTTTTTATATGTTTTCTTTTCAGCTGACAGAAAATTTCTGCGACCACATTACACCTTACATCTGGCCAGTTAACTCCTCTGATTGCAACCCCCTTCATTATTATGTGTTTTGCGAGAAACCAAAAGAAAAAAAATAACACTTTGTAACACCAAAGATGAACTGAAGGCAAGAATTATGGCAGCAATCACCAACTTAAACAAAAACAAAGAATTTACGGACAGATGTTTGCATGGACTTTTGTCCTTGTTTTGTTGTCAGGAACCCGTCCCCAATGTTTGTAAACATGCTTTTGATATTCTCTCGGTATATATATATATATATATATATATATATATATATATATATATATAGATAGATAGATAGATAGATAGATACTAGCAGTAGAGCCCGGTGTTGCCTGGGGATGTAACAGTAAGAGTTGGGGACGGCTGTTGCTTTGGAAGATGTGCTTTGTAAGTCGACAGGTACTAAGTTTCTACAAAACGCTGAAACGGAATGCACACAAAGTATAAGCAGACATCATGCAGGCCCAAGTATTCGAAGATATCGGGGGAAGTAACGGAAAGCCGTTGTAGCATCAGTCATTTGCCGTTAATAAGACATATGTAAGTAAAAGCTGGCAGCAGTTCCTGCTTTAACCAATTGGACCGTTAAGCATTACTGGAAACACTTGTGGTAAGTAGTCAAGAAACCACGATTCAGTTGCAACATACATAGGGATTGAAAGGAAAACGTGCCGTGAGGAAGCCATAGACATAAAGTATGTGCCGTGCGCAATCACAAACAAACCCCTTGTCTAACTAAAAGACGCGTCTTATGCCCAAAAGACGGCGCTGCCACGACAACAAAGCAGAACCGTAAAACCGAGAGAAGAGCGAACAGTGACGGGGTCTCATGGTAAGAAAATTTCTGTGATAAAGTCGCATGAACGGTGGGTTTTACTGATGCGGCGCAGACCACCGCCCCGGTACCTTATGACAATATCCCGGCTGTTATGCTCCTCACCGTGGATGACTGCGGCGACTTCATTACATACAGGAGCATTGAAGCGACGCTCATGCTTACCGTGAGGCCGTCTGTCTACATCGATGACAACACTGAAAGAGGGCGAAGAGTTGTTTTGCAACACAAACTTTAAGCTTCGGATGTAACTGTTAGATTCGTGAAGCATGTATTGTAGACGGAACAGAATGTCTCTACGGGGACCGACGGAAATATCGCTAGGCAGAATGCCGAGACGCGCATCAACTTGCTCGTTGTAGTCAGCGAGAAAGTAAATTTGTAGGAACTGAGGTGGCTCTCCCTGATGAGCCAAAAGTGATCCTATTAAGTGGTAAACCTGGCCTTGCACTTTGAAAGTAGGCATCCATCCCGCCTCACTAATAGCCTTCGCACCAAAAGACGTCATCTGGAAGCAACATTTGTACTTCCGTATTGCTTCAAGAAAATGCGTTGACTTCGAAGTTGTACCCAGAAGGAGGTCCCTAAGCGGCTGGGGAGGTTCGTCTAAAGAAAGGAGTTTGATTTTTCCCCAGAGCAACAACGCTCAGGTTACTCACCAGCCCACTTTTTTGCGTTGCAAAAAGTGAAAACTTTATCCATGGCCCCTATTTGTACGTCTCTCCTAGCGGAATAGTTGACAGTGCAGCCATAATTGTATGTGGCACTTGACCAAAATGACGCAGACGGCGAAGTTACGCTATTCAAAGAAGCTCGAAGTTGCTAATGTTTTCAAGCCGTTGACGGCGTACTTCAGAGTTTTCTGCAACCCTGGCAGACGCAGTAGAGCGGGCATTTCTAACGCGGCGAACAGTGGTCTGTGTAGGGCTTTCTAAGGCTCTGGTAGACGCGGTGGAGCGGGCAATTCCAACGCGACCAACAGTGGTCTGTGCAGGGCTTTCTAAGGCTCTGGTAGACGCGGTGGATAGGGCATTTCTAAAGCGACGATGAGCGGTTTCTTGGGGTTGTTCCGAAGCTCTAGAGGAGGCTGTAGCCCTAGTATTCCTAAGACGACGTTAAGTTGTTTGTTCGAGGCTTTCTAAACCCCTGGAGCAAGCTTTGGCAGTGGCATCCCGCAAACGACGAAGGGTTTTTTGTGCTGGGGACTGTGAAGCCCTCAACCTAGTCACGCGGACTGCGTACTGTGAATTCTGAAGTGAATGTTCTTCAACTGAAAGCCTGGCGCGGCGTGCGGACATGGTTGAAGCAGCTGAAGTCAACCTTTCAGTCCGCGCAGCGGAGCTTTCCGTAGATAAGCGAGCAGCTGAGCTCAAAGCCATCCGTGAAAGACGCAAAGAAGTCTGTTCAGGGGTTTCACTCACCCTCGCTGCTCTAGTAGCGGAGGCAGCTGCCGTGCGCTGTCCCAAAAGTTTCCTCCTTTTAGGTGGCGTCCAAACAGTAAAAAAGTCTAAGAGGTAAAAGCTTAAAAAGAGATTTCGACAAATCCAAAATGGAAAAATGTGCAATGCTAACGTAAACACAAGAAGGGGAACACCCAGTAAAATGAGTTCAGATGTTACTAAAGGGGAACCCGAAACTACAAAAGTAGAAATTTAAAAAGGTAAACCAAGGGTAAATCCAAAAGGAAATGAGTTTTTAGTACAATTGGCTAATGTGTGTGGGGTTGGGTTGGAATTATAAAACAAAAAAGCAGCTAGAACACGTAATCAACAACTTGCGGTGTCTGAAGTAGGCCAATAAAGTAAGCCAACTGCGTGCACGTGGGCAACAATAAAGGCAAAAGTGTGAAATCACGCCCGAGTCACGCAATAGAGGTGGTTGCCCTTGAGCGCACTTACACATAAGCTGACGTGCGATCACGCGGGCGCTATAACGTGTGAGAAATCCTGCGCGATGTTTGGACAGGCCCCAAGGTCAAGCTCTGTGAAAGCGACCAATGGGCTTGCAGCAGTCTCGGTACAGACACGCGGACTCGGTTTTACGCAGCTGTGTGTGTGTACGGAAGTTACAAAAAAGATTGATCCGCGTACAGCTACAGTTATTTTTGCCGGAAAATTCTAAAATTTGACACACATAAAGGCGATAGTAAGCCGCAGGTGTGTCGTAAATTTCATTTTAATCAAACCAAAACTGTACATACTGTGCCAGTGAATGTGTGTTAAGAGGGCTAAATCCTGTCCCTTTGTACCCCCGTTTATGGTTCCCTGGTCAAGCGCCTTTGACAGTCTTGCAAGCAATTTGGTACTTGTTAGATAGCCAAGCGTTAGTGCTATCAGAAACTGGACCATTTGCTTCGTTTTGGTGGCTCGGTACAAAACATCGTCCAAAGACTGCGAAAAATCTGCATAAATGGCCCTTACTCGTGCTTTCAAATTGATTTCATGCAAGAACAATTGTGTTTTTCCAAATTTTGGCGCTGTTAGAACCACCGCCGGGTAATTTTACCAAGTCCTGTAAAGTTTTGTTGAAATCGGTTGAAAACTGTAGGAAATCCAATCCCATATATAAACGAACAGACACACACATACAAACACACACATAACCTGGGTTTTATAAGTATGATATGATATGATATATATATATATATATATATATATATATATATATATATATATATATGTATGAAGAGAGAGAGATAGATAGATAGAAGGAGAAACAAAAAGAGAAAGAGAGGAAAAGAGGGAGGGAGAGAAGTTCACTTAATTTACTTTCAAAACTTTTATCAAATAAACCCTTAAAAACCTTTAAAATTAGCGTTCTTTAGAGAAATTACCAGTTTCACGATGCGAAGTGTCGATAGTCACAGACTTTTCGGCAATTCTTTTCGCTAATTTATCAGCAGCGACTATGACCCAGTATAACGCACCCTATTCCTCAGAAGGAGGCAGCAATAATCCCAATCGACACTTACAAGGGGAAAATATTCTCAAGTTTGTTTTGTTTTTAGACTCGCTACCTCCTTATATATCTATTTTTTTTTTTGTGATCCTCATTCAGATGCTAATTAACTCCGCTGATTCTCGTGACTTCACTTGCTAATAGACAACCGATTACCTATAAAAGAGGCGGTCTTGTTTGGTGAAATAATGATGTGTAATTTCACCTCCAAAACAATGACAGATTTCTTTGTAATAACATGTATACGTATAGTTATACAGTGTTATACTGTTGGTATGGCGTCTATTAATGATTGGAAAATCTGTTTGCAAGGTCGTTAGGTGGAAAGTATTTCTCCGATTGTGGTTTTATATATATATATATATATATATATATATATATATATATATATATTGATTTTTCTTATCAACTTTTGTTTTATTCTGCTGACGATTATTTTTCTAAAAAAGTTTCTGGCCAAAATCCGCCTGAAATCCCTTCTTTTTTTCTTAAACGAGATACTTTTGTATCTATTTTAACAATAAAAATGGGAAATATGATCCTTATATTTAAATCAATTTTGACTTGGTGTGGCAGTAAAAAGAACATGTTTTATATATATATATATATATATATATATATATATATATATATATATATAGATATAGATATTATGAAATGGACAAAGTCCGACAATTATTTAAAGACATTTTTATGTTTAACATTCTTTTTATAGATACAGGTATTTAAGTAAATGCTCTGTTTATAATAAACAGTATTAAATAACATTTACCGACCTATGAAAAATTTCTCGGACATTCAGGCCTGTAAATACTTTTTTGAAAAAAATTATTACCAGCAATACAATCTTGAAGGAAAAATATTACCAGAAGCAGATGTTTGATAAAAAAAAAAATTACCAGCAGTACAAAATGTTGTCGGCATTAAATAACTCATTGAGTTTGATATGCCATAAAACTAAATAAACCACACCAATCTAAACCAAAGAATACATACTCTATTCAGACGAATCTATCCTAAAAATGTTGTCGGCATTAAATAACCCATTGAGATTGATATGCCGTAAAACAAAATAAACCAAACCATTTCCTTTGTTCTGCAGTTGGAGATTGATTTTGAAATTCGCTTGACTCACTTCTAGCAGTTGACTACTTCTAAGCTCCGCTCGCGAATCTTATGTGCTATTCTTGTTCTAAGTATGATGATAGGGTGATGTCTCTTAAATTGGTTCACTCTCGAAACTGATCAATTTTCTCCATTTTGTTTTATTTTGTTCTACTCCAAGCCTTTAAGCATAGTAACCAGTGTGTGTGTGTGTGTGTGCAGATATGTAGAAAGATAGGAAATAACACGTTAATTAAATAATCCGGAGTTCTTTAGTATTTTTGTTTTTATTTAAAAAAAAAAAAACAGTACTACATACAGAAGTAGAGCTTAAATTATAATATTTTTATTTATTTAAATTATATTGAGGTTGTTGGCTCTCGTTTTTGAAACATGAGAACTCTTATGTAGCGAAGGAATCATATTTATAAAAAAAATAATTATAATATATATATATATATACAGGTAAGAATCCGTTGGGGTATAATCCAAGGGAATCCTAATAATATAACATATTAAAACTGAACCATAAAAAGAGCTAAATTTATTTATTATAACAGAGCATATACATTACATAGAACAGAAATCCATAATTATCTGATTTGAATAGCTATTTCGACCCAAAGGACTTACATATTGGCCCTGTCCGCTCAGAGATGTGAAGAATTAAAGAACAAAAATATACTTTCTCCTTTTTTAAAAAAATATTCCAAAACTATGCTAGCAAAAACTGAAAAAAAATATCACTAGATATTTCATATAAAGAAAATTACTTATAAGTATTATCCTTAAATGCCTGGAGAGCACCAAAAGAACAGAATATATATATATATATATATATATATATATAATAGGTATCACCCCGTGCAAAGCAGTAAAGCCGTTAAGACCCAATGGGTTACAGGATGTGGATGGATTAGGAACAGAAGCAATAATGAGCGGGAAGAGGAAAGAAGAATCAGGAAGGCAGTACATATTGATTGACGTTTCATTTAAATTTGGGCAGAATAAAGTTGGCTAGAAAGTATGAAGGAGAACTCAATGTCCAGGACAGAGTAAGAATATAATATAAAAAGTTCAAACACTAATATTCCATGTTAATAATTTATTACATTAGAATCGTACTCACGATCCAATTCATCAGAACTACAAATTATATATATATATATATATATATATATATATATATATATATATATATATATATATATATATATATATACACACACATATATATATATATATGTGCGTGTGTGTGTGTCTGTGTGTGTATGTATGTATGTATATGGAGAGAGAGAAAGAGAGAGATCATCCTTAGAATGTATAACGTTCTGCTGCGAAGTATCTATACTGCTTTTCCGTGCTAAATTAATGGTTAAGAATAAGTAACTATAAGTACATGTAAAAAATACTTATGCGTAATATATAGAGCAAAATTTGCATTGATCTTGTTTGTGGCTCAGTCTTGTTCTTTGTTCGCCATTTTTGCATATAATTTTTTTCTTTTTTCTTTTTTATGTCTTTTCAAAATTTCCGGTTCTCTTTATTTTCATTTGTCGTTCTTTTTTTTTTTTTTACATTGATATTTTTATTATTTTAAATCTTGTTCCTATTCTCTTCTCTTTATATGTCTGTTCAAATTTGCAACGTCGCAGACGACAATAATCCCTCCATTTTGTCGGAAGTGAAACTTTCAGTTGGACTGCCAGTTGATGCAGAACCCGGATGTACCTATCGTCTGCCTTAACAAATAAAATTGCATAATTTTCTGTTCTCTGTTAGTTCAAAGAATAGAATCTAAAATATATCCGAATTTGGAAAAGATATATTAAATAAAATAAAAAGCGGGCCATACTCGATGTATTTCCGAATACAGAAGGAGAAAAATGATAGAAATGAGGAAAGCTACACGAAGAAAGAGTAAGGTATGATGGGTGTAAAACAAAGAAATTTTGAAAGAAAGAAATGCGGCAAACTATAGAAAGATTGATTGATTTAAAACTAGGTATTGAGAGAAATATATAAAAGGAATTATATTGGAAAGGAGAATAAGAGATTTGTAAAAGTCATAAAAATGGAAAAAGGTAGAAATATCGAAAAAAAAAAAAAGACAAACTCGAAACGACATAAGAATTGAAAAAAAATACCGTGGAAAAGAAATTAATCATTATTTTCTTAAAAAATAATAACGAAATTAATCCGAAAATTTACCTGAGAAAACAAAAATTGGAGAATATATTGGAAAGGCAGAATAAAACGAAAAAATAGATAAAGAGAACATAATTATTTAAATGAGAGTGAGGAAGGTTTTAAAATAAGCAGAGTAAATAAGGAAATAAAGAATAACAGAGAAAGTTAGACAAATAAGATGCATTTTACAAAGAGGATAAAGTGAAGCCATATCGTTGAGGAGCGGCAAAATTAAGAGGCGGGAAAGTTAAAATAGATAATACTATAAAGCAGAGAGTCTTGGAGACCGCTTAGCAGGATTCAGTCTGTTCTTATTTGAGGAGAACAATTCTGGACTTAAGAGGTTTTGTCTGAGAAAGATGAGATTCTCATATTGAAATTTAAAATGTATTACATTTGGCTTTCGTTTATTTTTTTATTTTTTTTATTGCTTCTTCAACAAAGTACCGGTCATGTGATCAGACAACCGAACGAAGAATCATAAGAGGCGGTTAGACGGCAAAATGTTAAAACTGAGAGAGAAAGAAGGTAACCAAATTCATAAGTACACATTGTTCAACTAAGAAAACCTCGAGGGTGAAACAAAAAGAGGGAATCTGGTGCAAAAACACACAGAAAGATTTTAAAATAGGGAAAATTAAGTAAAACAAAGAAAAATGGCGTAAAAATGAAAATAGCAATAAAGAGGTTGGAAAACACGGTAAAATAAAAATGGCGGTCAATACAAAGGAGACGTAAAAATTAAAAAAAAAAGTGGTTTCGTGAAAACACAAGTAGTAATAACAAGAACAAAATTGTGTAAGGCAAAGAAAACTTGGTAAAAAATGTCAAACGGTAATTAAATCTTAGTTACTTCCGCCGGATTTCCGAAAATGGATAGTCATCTTTGGTGTTTACACATCCCAATACAAAAATGCTTACAGTATTACATGTAAAACATGGCTGTGCAGTTGAAAAAAATGACATAACGGGCAATCTTCGTTACAATACTATATCAACTGAAAACTTGAACTGAACATATAATCATTCATTGAAATGAAAAGTATAATAAATTTGTTGAATAAAAATATATTGTAAAGTCTATCTGAAACACACCAATACAATAATAGAGAACAATAGAGCTACAATATATTTTCATGAATAGAAAGATATTACATTACCTAAATTCCTAATTACATGACTAAAAGACTAATATATAAATATATATATATATATATATATATATATATATATATGAATTACCCATCCAGAAGGATCGTTACCACCACCTCCAAGATTATCGGAGATATAACCAGGATGAAAAATAAAACAAAAAACAATTCAAATGCCGGTGATTATAAAATCAAAATCATATATATTGGGGCGATATCACGCGATCTAAAAACCCGCATCTGGGAACACAAAAGAGACTTGCGTTTAGATAAACATTCAAATTCTCTCGTCTTACACTGCAACGACGTGGGACCTAACTTTAATTTCATCAATGCCAGCCTTATTAAATAGAGAACATAACCCTTAAGAGAGAAAATATTATGAAAACATATTTATAGCAATACTACTATCAAGGCACTTTTAAAAAACTGCATATTTCTACAGATCCTTTATTCATGAATCTAACTTATCTCTGAAGCATAAAAATCAATGAAGATATATACAAAATACGCACGAGATATGCTTTAAATAAAATCATGCCAAAAGAAAATTAAAAAAAAAAAATCCTGCTGCATCTCACTAACTTTTACACACTTTAGCGTCCGGAATGTTTCTCACGCATATTTGAATATTATCTGTTGCTTCATCACACGTGACATATATCTAACTAATAAGAAAGTACTCAACATACCATTAATCTGCGTCTATTTGTTTTTATTATATATTATATCTACTTTGATCTTTGACGAAGCTTTAATAAAGTGAAACATGTTAGATTAAGATTTGATTCCTACTTGTTCTTTATCCTATCATTTTGTCGAATTACTACCAATACTTTATATATAATATAATAATAATAATAATAATATATATATATATATATATATATATATATATATATATATATATATATATATATATATATATATAATTCGGATAATCTTCGTTGAAAACACAACTATACTTAAACATGAAAACGATAAACAAAAAACTAAAAATTCTTGAAACTATATACATAAAGCAGTTGAAACCTAACCTGAACAAAATAAACCATGAAATCACCACAAATATTCTTAACTACCTATAATTGGTAAGAGAAGACAGTGGTTTATGCCAACAGCTTCCCATACTTAATACTTCTCGTTTTCGCTCACGCGTGGTCATGTGTGACAACATGAGCTGCGGTGAGATTTTCGCTTCCGCGTCTCGTACACACGAGTTTATTTTTTGCTTGGAAATCTTTCATGCAACAAAAACAGACTATCATTATTGTTGTGTCCGTGTATTGTTTAATATAATGAAATGTAATTGTCATTTTTGATACTGGCTTATGTAAGCTGAAAGCTTAGATGGGATTAAAAAAACATGTATAAATATGGTGTTTTTCTTGCATCTTTCAATGATAATGTTATTAAGCTTATCAGACAATATGAAAGGGATTTACTTAAAATGAATTAACAAAATTTGTCTAATGAAACATGCATCATATATATATATATATATATATATATATATATATATATATATGTATAAATCATGAAAATTTACTTTGGTCACTGTTGAAACTTGACTAATGCATGGAATAATAATGCAACACAAAATGTACTTAGAAGAAAATGTATTGAAACAAGAAAGTGTACACAATATTTACATATAGTCTTTTGTATATTCCTGGTAAGATCGTTCCTGGAGAATGTGTTGACTGAGTCGCAGTCGGGCAGAGTCTCTGGTTGAATCTCTTGATTCCTTCCTCTCTTCCCGGTACCAACCATAAAAAAAAAAAAAAACTATTTGCCACTAGGAATTACGAGTATTTAAAAAACGAGGGTAAAATACACCCCATGTGACTAACGCAGGGTTAAAATAAATGATACGTATTAAAGATAAAAAAATCGTGGTTTCTTTCAGAAGAAACGCGAGGCGATAGCGGTGTCAGTCCATGGAAACGTGGTAGAAATACGAATTAAGGGATTCATTCAAAGAGAATATGATAAAACTATGAAATAGCGGTGTAAAACAGAGAACTCTGTAAAAGCGAGAAATAACTGTTTCGTTAAGAGAAAACGGTAACACCCTAAAAGCAAGAAATGGTGGTTTCGTTCTATGTTAACGCGGTAAAAGCAAGAAATACTGGTGTTTTTCTTTCAAGGAAACGCTGTAAAAAAAAAAAAAAGAAATATTGTTACTCAACGGAAAAACGGTAAAATGATGATTATGAGTGTTGTAACCTAGGGAAGGTTACTGAATGGAATAATCAAACGAAAGTTGATAATGAATGATAATATATTGGACAACACATATAAGATTCGCCAGCGGCGCGTAGAAGTAGTCAGCTGCTACCAACCGCCCCACTCGGTGAGATGTGGCACAATACTGAATTTAATGTGGGGTATCATAGCCCGTAGGATCGGCCAAAAATTCCCCGTAGAACCCATATATCGGGGTCGGGTAACTGTTTACCGAGACGAAACTTGTCCTTCGGCTGGATATCCTCTCTGTCCGGAGGCAGAAAGTTTAAAAAGCACAACTGGAGACGAATCTCCAACTGCAGGATATCTACCAACCTCGCCCCGCGGTCAGATGTGGCAGAAGCTGTTTCCCGAGACGAGACTCTGCCCTTTGCTATAGCCTCGTCTGGGGATCCTCTCTGCCCGGAGGCAGAGATTTTGACGAGCACAGCTGGAGACGAATCTCCGACTGCAGACCAACATACAGTATTTACTACTGTATTATTGTGAATGGGAATAAACCTTTTATCGTCCGTAGGTTTGCTATAACAATAAGTATAATAAGAAATAAAATATGCAATAAGACGAAACAGCGTAAATTCGAAAACAAAAAAGATAAATAAACGACAAGTATTATAGAGGCATAAATGTCTTTAAGTCTGTAAAATGTAACATAAAAAGTAACGGTGGAAGCAGAAACAAAATATAAACTATAAAACGTATAAGAACAGACAAGAGAAAGAAATGCCATAAATGATACTAAAACAAACAAATCCGGTGGGAAAAAAAAACAGGTAATAAAAACAATGGTAAAACAATACGAAATATAGACAATAAGTAAAAAAATAGCATTAAAACTAAACATAAAAGAAAGACAGAAAATAGTTATGAAACAAAGTTGGAAATATAGAAAATGGCGCCTAAGCCAATTATTACATTGTAGACCAGACCCAGAGATGAAGCTTCATTGACAATCACATTCTTGGCCCATTCAAGTCCACGCCCAACTGATATCTATCCTATATGCCCTCATAATATACACGTTTTCTTTCCTCTTCCACCCACTGATTTACAGCAATCGTGCTCTGTAACCCTGTAACGTGAGTGGCCACTGGGTCTTGTATTGAGTGAACTAACTGTATAAAAAAAATGGCCAAGTCAGAAAAAACATGTAAGTAATTAGTGGTAAAAGAAGTCAGGTAAACAAAAAACCCGGCGGTAAAACAAAGTATGAAAAACCTGTAAGAAAAATGACGGAAAACAAAAGAAACGAGAAAATAGCGCTAATACAAAGGCAAGAAAATGAGTTAGAAAAAACAACGGTAAAGCGAAATCGGAAAAAAAAAAACAAGTAAGTAAAATGGCAGTAAGAGATTGCCGAGAAAAGAAATAAGAAAAATGGCGTCCAAACAGAAAATAGCGGTAAATAAAGAACGCTAAAAATGGAGATAGCAACAAAATATAAGGACTAATAAAGCGTGTACGCAAAAGCTGTAAAATATATATGGAATAAGAGGTGAAGGAATACGGCGAATGTCTGTCAAACAAATACTAAAACAGGGTTTAAAATGAATTTTGAAAATATTTTCCGAATTGAAAAATAGTAGTAAGCGATAAGTGTCAAGGAATGAAAAAAAAAAAATTACAATAAAAATGTCTGAAAATTGGCGAAACAAAAAATGAAACTGGAAAATGAAGATAAACAACGCTATAAAACTATTATGAAAAGCAAACGTGAAAATAAAAGGAGGAAAGGGAAAAGATGGACGGAATAAAAAAAATAAGAAAGACGACAGTGTGGAAAGACGAGAAAATGATGCTTAGGAGCGAAACGAAAGAGAAAGAACATTTTGTGAAAACAACTGTAAAAAAGAAAAGAAAAAAAAAACACAGTGAGAAGTAAGAAAAATGGCAGGAGAAGAAGTACTGGAAAAAAGGCGGGAAAAAGAGTAACGAAAAAGGCGGGAAAAAGAGTAACGAAGAAGGCGGGGATACAAGTAACGTAGGAGGGAAAGCATAGAAAGAAATAAAATAGGAACTGAAGAATACGAAGCCGTAGCGAATCAATCATGCAATTGAATTAGTTATCCTGTTTCACGGACTGTTAACCTCTATTTCTAACTCTTTCAGAATGTTGTACATTGTATGCATCACTGCACACGACTGCAGATGAGGAATTTGTGTATAGAAGTAAACATACTGAACTACGTTAAATTGTGTGTGTATGTGTGTGGGTCTGCGTGCGTGCGCTATAGGGGGGTACTTATTTCAAGCGTGCATGTGTTCAGTGGAAAGTGTTCACGCAAGCGTGTGAGACAGAAGGTGAGAGAGCGTTTGTTGCGTGTGTTTCAATTATGTTCTTGTCGGCGGACGTGTAAGCAGCTGTGTATCAGTGTCTTATTATCAGTGTGTGCCTTAGTGTATGGTTAGAAGAGAGAGAGAGAGAGAGAGAGAGAGAGAGAGAGAGAGAGAGTGAGAAAACGAAAAAGGACAAAAGATACGCACGGGAAAAGAGAAAGAGTGAAAAAAGATAGGAAAGAAAAAAGATTGTGCTGGCGCTCGTAAGAGAAAGCAGAAAACACTAACTCCTTTTTTTAATTTTATGTTATATAGAGCCACTCAAGGTAGAGGGTTACTAAATGAGGTTGCTGTGTGACGGTAGGAAAGGGAAAGGGGAATTAAGCACAAATTATGTCGATACGTAAGGTAGGTAACCTGCCACCAGCAATCTTCAAAAATTTAAATGCAACGTCAATCGCCATCTTCTGTCTTCCCGAAACCTGTTTTTTTATTGTCCTTTGGTCTCCCTAAATTCTTTTTATTCCCTTTCACTCCCAGTAACTATTTGCGTCTTAGTAGCATTATCGCCTTGCTCGGGATGGAAGAATTAAAAAAAGGAAACGGTCGACCCTAGATTTGAAGAATTTACAGATTGTAGCTTTTCGGGGAAATATCATCTAGTGTGTCCATACGATAAAGTAGCGGGTCTTGTGAAGAAGATCTCTAAATATAGTTTTATTCTTATCACTGGAATATGTCGAAAATTTCTTCGATTCAAGGGTAATCAAAATCAGTCCGGCAGTAAGAGATTGCTAAACCCGCCGCGTATTGCGTCCCAATTTTAAACAGGGATCAAATAATAGAGAGAAGAGCGCGCAAAATAACTCCATTCGCGTAATGTCCTTCTCAAAAAATAAAGATATGTGAAAGGAAGAGAAGGCAGACCTTAAATAACAAAAAGCAGACATGCGCATCCCACCCTTCCGGTAACGAAAGACTACAAAATCAGTGCCCTGGTGCAGCCTCGCTTTGATAAACTAGAATCCGTCAGCCACTCAGTTTCCACGTCCGACGGCCGCCTCATAAGCGCAGGTAATTTCATTTATTTTTCCTCTAATATAAAGGAAATGAGAATGTTTCGCATACTGTCTATACGGTATGCCACGTCCGAGATGTGAGTGTCTGAACTGGTGAAGCTAGAGAATATAGCTCGTTAGCACATTTTCCGTGGGAATAAAGATAGAGTAGGGAGAGTCTTGCAACGTTTCATCTGTGTGAGACGGCTAGTAGGGTGGAAAATTACCGCCTACAAGGCGATGTAATCGCTTTTGGTCTCTGTCGAGGCCGGAAAGAGAGGATTGTGTAACTGAAGTCTATATCGAAATGTGTGAATTAATCTGTTTTGTTGGCTCTTCCGGTGACGTAATAAAATTACATTTTTGTGAAATCTTGAAATTTATAAATATAATCCCATAATTATTCTATTTTGATTAGAATATTATTTGTTTATTAAAAGAATAAGGAAGTATTGAACATGATAAGAAATGCACGGTAACACAAGGATTCTTTAAATATATATATATCCCTATTCTGTCTATGATCGTTTCATTCATTCCTGACCATTGACAATGCCTTTCTTTGTGATTTTTAATTTCTTTCTTTTGTAATAACCATTAATAAACATTATACATGCATTCATTTTTCATTTTTAGATATAGCAGTGTAGTAAGAAAATATATTCCCACGACGATACCTACAACAACGTCACGACTCAAAAAAATAAACAATAAAGCAAAACGTAATTTAATAAGCTAAATACCACAATTTAATGCCAAAGAAAATGTACAATGTAAAATATCATGAAATTAATGCTGTAACTTAGGGTAGATTACTGAATAGAATAATCACCCGAAAATTGGTAATGAACGATAATACTTATGACAAGAACAACGCATATAAGATTCGCCAGCGGCGCGTAGAAGTAGTTATCAACTACAAGTGAGTCAAGTGAATTCCACAATGAATCTCCAACTGCAGACCAACATACAGTATTTACTACTTCATTTATATGAATGGGGACTACTCCTTATCATCCATAGTTATGGTACAACAATTAATTTAATTTAATTAAAATAATAAATAATAATTAAAATAAAATATATTCAAAAATAAAAAAAATAATTTAATTAAAATATTAAATATTTGAATAGACAATTAAAGTAAACTAATCGAATGTCTAAATTTTTACACTGTCCTACCTCGTAAAACAAGCGAGAAGGGACGGTTTATACATTTCCCTTCTTCTCATAGGACCCAAATAGCTGATATATCTTTTTGTTTTAGTTGCTGGTTCTCTTCAGGAATTAGGCATTCATGGCCCTCCACATGTTGTCTCCTGTAGCTCTTAATGAGTTTTGTCTTTTTGTTATTTCTCCCAAATCCTGTTCTACCATCCATTTGCTCAGGCTCATCAAATATTACTTGCATTATTTACATTATCTGGACTTTTGATTGAAAAATCTTGCTTCTCGTCACAATCAAAAGTTAGAATGTTGTAATAAAGACAGCAAAATTTTAAAAAAATAATTTAAAATTACTTTGTTCTTTCCTCTTAATAGTAACATAAACATTTTGGTGATAAAATTTTGTTTTCGTCAAGTTTGACGTCATCAGACTATGCGCTTTATTTAGATATCTCATGGAGATACCTAGCTTAACTGTAGTACCTTGTCTGTCGTTTTTAATGAAACATGCACATATATATATATATATATATATATATATATATATATATATACATATATATTAAATAAAAACAGACCACTTTAAGGTTCCATGTAATAAATTATTTCACTACAGCTCTTTTAAAGGACTGCGGATCATCAGACTTTACTTCCAAACAAAAAATGAAAAGAAAATTTACACATTTTTGACGGGTCGTATCAAATATATGTAAATTAACGAAGTGAGGAAGTGAGAGGGGAGAGAGAAGACATAAACGGTTAAATTGTTTAAATTATTAAATTATTTTAAATTATTTGCTCCGGATTTACATTGAGCTCTCTGGATTTTATCCTCCTTAGGTTTACCCATACAGATTATCTAGTTTTTCATAAACTATATATATATATATATTCCTAATTGCTTACATGTTCAGCCCATATTGTTCTTGGTATCCTTCTGTAGACCACGTTTCTGTTGCCGCAGCTTCATGTGCGAGAAGATTGTCCAGCATTCACTGCCTTTGGAGGACCAATATTGCATAACACTTCTGTGTTTTTTGTTTTTGTTTTTTCTAATGAACATTTTTGTTTCTTAATATTTTGCTTAGCTTTTGGAAGGCATCTTTCGCTATTCAAGTAGACCTTTTGATTTGAGTATCACACTTCCCGTCCACTGTTATGTTATTATGTCCGACTTGTAATTCTTTCAGAATTGCCTCATTGTATCCGCGGCACATAAAAAGAAAAGACTACGTGGTTGGAGTAGTAAGAGATCTGGGAGGGTCGATTCAGCGTATTCTTGGTTGATAAGCATATTAGTATCTTTCAGCGGCTTGTGATGGCAGCTGTTAGAACTAAAGTAGGTGGTTGGTAATAAAAACAAATCATGCAAAATGAAATGGATATATATATATATATATATATATATATATATATATATATATATATATATATATATATTTGGTTGGATAGATGTGAGTTTGTGACCCTGGGTTTCACGCTTTAGCGATCGTCAGACAAACTGATTAATGTTTAAAAAAATTTGGATTTATGTAGATTGCGTGTATTGGTGTTATTGTGGAAGTGGTGGGGGGAAATTTCGTCGTTTTGTCATTCATCGTACTAACGCAAACATCGATGTATGCAGACACATATACATACTTGGTCGTCCGTCGGGACTCATATATATATAAACATATGTGGGCAGTTTCGGATATGACACATGTATGTATACAGGTGGTGTTATGTCTATACATACGCATTTGTATGTTGAAATGTTGAAATTTAAAAATTGGAAGTGTGGCGGAAATGTCTCGTTATTGTCTCGTGAATGTATCCATGTCATATTATGAAAATTTTTTTTTTTCCGTTGAAAAATATTTGAAAAATATTTTCTCGCATGTATGTATATATGTGTGGTGGGGTTTGTGTAAAATTATGATAGGTAAAAATTATTATTATAATTATTTATATTTATTTTTAAATTTTTGAAAAAATGGGGGTTTATTTGTTATATTTAAAGCTGGTTATTTGTTTGTTTTTGGTGACTGTGTATATGTAACAGGTAAAAAATTGTAATCCTTATTGTTTAATTTATATGGTGATGTAATCCTTATTGTTTAATTTATATGGTGATGTTTAATGCACATATTAATTCGCATATAATATATAAATAATTATACATATATATATATTTATTTATATTTATATTCACTTTTCACATATATATATATATATATATTCGTCTTTCCGTATACCCGAAAGTCGACATGAAACGTTAGTCCATTACACTAACGTGTGTGCCGCCCATCTTGTCATGACAGAACTCGGATCTGCATTATGACAGTTAATCCCAACCGCTAACCTCCCCAAAAGCTAAAAGCGAAAAAAGTGAGCAGCCGACGTAAACAGTTTGTATGAAAGCACGTGAGAACAGACACACACAGTGAGATAAAAGTTGCTTCTTCTTTTATGTTCAGTCTATGGCATTCTTAGCATCCTTCTGTAGAGCCACATTTCTGTTTTCAAGTCTATTCTTCATCTATGAGGAGACTGTCCATCATTCATAAGAGGATCTATATTACGTAACAGTTCAGTACTCTATTCTTTGTTTCTATCGAAGATTTCTTGTTTCTTAATACTTTGCTTAGCTTTTGAAAAGCTTCTTTCGCTATTCCACTGGATATTTGGATTTCAGAATCGAACCTCCCGTCCACTGTTATGTTGTTAAGCTTATGGCCGACTTTTAATTCTTTCAGAATTGCCTCATTGTATAGGTTGATTAAGTCAGGTTAGAAGAAACATCCTTCTTATACACACCTTTCTATTTTTGTATTTTTAATAAACTCACTTATATTACGTAACAGATCAGTAATAGTTTTAAACGATATTTTTCTATTTCTTAATAATTTGCTTAGCTTTTGGATAGCATTTTTCGCAGTAACAATGGATCTACGGATTGCAGTGTAGCATTTTCTGCCCTCTGTTAAAAACACTTACCGTCCTGGGTAAGATGATAAACTATATTCCCGTGCTGGGTAAGACGATAAACTACATCCGACAGCAAGGCCTCTGACCAGGCGATTGTGAGGAACGTGGAACCACATCTTAATTGCTGGTGTTCCTAGGTCCAACCTGATCCAGGGTGGTAGCACCTGTTAGGGTTTCAACTATGGGTAAATAGTTAACCATCAAACTGGTGTCAAAACACTATGAAAGTGTAATAAGTTTTAATACCAGCAATAATATTTTTGTTGAAAAAATTGTTACCAGCAATACATTATTATCAGCAATACATTTTTGAAGAAAATAAATCTTGCCAGCTTTATATTTTTGGAAGAAATATTGCCAGCAATGAAAATCTTGTCGGAAATAAATAACCCATTGAGGTTGATATGCCGAAAAGCAAACCAAACTAAACCAATATATACTTAGATAGATAGATAGATAGATAGATAGATAGATAGATAGATAGATAGAAAATATAACCAGCAATAAAAAATCTTGTCGGCAATAAATAACCCATTGAGGTTGATATGCCGTAAAGTAAATAAATATAAAACAAACCAAAACCAAACTAAATATATATATATATATATATATATAAATATATATATATATATATATATATATATATATATATATATATATGTTTTGTGTGTGTGTGTGAAAAGTGTATATAAATATAGATAAATATATATGTATAATTATTTATATATTATATGTGCGGTACTTATTAGAAAGCGCTCAATATCAGAGATAGAGCTAACATATTTGGTTGGATAGATGTGAGTTTGTGACAAACTCACATCTATCCAATATATATATATATATATATATATATATATATATATATATATATATATATATATATATATTCTATTCTGTCTATGATCGTTTCATTCATTCCTGACCATTGACAATGCCTTTCTTTGTGATTTTTAATTTATTTCTTTTGTAATAACCATTAATAAACATTATACATGCATTCATTTTTCATTTTCTGTAATTGCATCAATTCTTGGCAATTTACAATCCTTTTCTTCCTTATTTTAAATGAGTTTCTACCGTCAAATAATTAGTGATGCATTTGCACTATACATATAATAACCCTACTCTGTCAGTAATCCGTCACAAATGACAATGTTTTTCGTCCTGCTTTCAAATGTACGTCCTGTATAATATTATATATTATAGTATATTATTATATTAATTAGCAACAGTGTTATTCAGTCAGTAAAACTGAAATTAATTCAGAACGATTGACAATCCCTTTTCTTTCTGATGTTCAGTGCATTTTGTTGCTGTAAAATAATTATTAATACATTTAAATCATACATGTAATAGACCTAATCTTTCCTTGACGTTTGCTTTAATTTTGACACGGCACATGCAGGACAGCGACACTGAATGAGAAATCGGAGAGCGGAGTTCGAATTCCACTCGAGCTCGTTACGTCCACTTACGCGCAAATAACTTCGGAAAAGGTATGACATTTCTTCTCCCCTACCTATGAGTTAAATAGTAATTCTTCAGCATTGATTGGTAGCCAGTCTAGAAGAATAACAAATCTGAACTCAAAAACCGTCTTTAACCCTGGGGAGGCACGTACTATGCACCTAAAAAAAGAAAAAAAATACTGATTCCTATATGACTGCTGTTTGTTTTTTGTTTTGTTTTACGGCATATCAACCCTAATGGTCTATTTAATGCCAACAAAATTTTCATTGCTGGTGATATTATGTTTTGTCAAAAATCTATTTCTGATAATTTTTTTTTTTCAAAATTGTGTTGCTGTAGTAATTTAAAAAAATCTATTGCTGGTAATATTGTCTTCTAAAAAATGTATAACTGGTAATAGTTTTTTTTCTTCAAAGATTTATTGCTAGAAATAATATTTTTACAAATTATTTCTGATATTAATACCTCTTTTTACACTTTTATAGTGTTTTGACTCCAATTTCGGGGTAAAATATTTGCCCATAGCTGGAACCCTAACAGGTGCTACCACCCTGAGTCTGTGCAGACCTGTGAACACCAGCAATTAAGAGGTTGCTCCACGCTCCTCATAACCTCCTGATCAGATGCCTTGCTGTTGGACGTAGTTTATCGTTTTACCCAGGACTCGGACGCAGTTTATCGTCATACCCAAAACGCGGTTGTAGTTTATCGTCTTACCCAGGAAGCGGATGTAGTTTATCATCATATCCAGGACGCGGACGCAGTTTATCGTCATACCCAGGACGCGGACGCAGTTTATCGACATAGCCAAGACGTGGATGTAGTTTATCGTCTTAGCCAGGATGCGGATGTAGTTTATCGTCATACCCAGGACGCGGATGTAGTTTATCGTCACACCCAGGACGTGGATGTAGTTTAGCGTCACACCCAGGACGCGGATGTCGTTTAGCGTCACACCCAGGATGCGGATGTAGTTTATCGTTTTACCCAGGACGCGAATGTAGCTTACCGTCATACCAGGACTACTGGAAAAAGATGCTGTTGTCTATAAAAGTACTGAAAAAAATCTGATATGTACTAGAAATGATGAAAGTGCTACTGAAGTCTGAAAATAATACTCAAAAATGTTCTGCCAATCTTCAAAATACTGCGGAAGGTTCTATTTGCTAAATGAATAATTACGAAGAATTTGTGAATATTGTGGAAGGTGCTGCAATCTGTAAGAGTGCGAAGAAAGTTTCCGGAATCTATAATGAGTTAGCTTCACTCAGTCCCCAGCGATAACAACCAGACATCTGGCGTGATCATCTTAGATAAATAAATGTCCGAAAAGAATGACTGGAAGCTGACTGAGGCGTTCTAGATCTTATTTTTACGAACAAACAACTCACTCATACCGGCCAGTTAACCTGTGCGGACGCATAAACCAATGGGAGTTCAACAGGCTGGTCGTCTCTTCAAATGTCGGCCATAGATACGGAAATTCCCAGATAAGCAATATTGATTGAGACGTCTACCAATCAGATCTACGCGTAGGCGAATTGGTAACAAAAGCTGTCGAAAAATAAAAGCATTTTGATACAAGAACGAGGTGTTTTTCAATTTAATTCGATAACACAAATTTGATTGACCTTAATACAGGTGAAGGATTTTCCTGTGTAAATTGACAATATTTAATAAGGAGAGAAGTGTTTTAACTACATGTGTAGGTTGTGTAATTGATAGCGTATCAGAACGAATAATGGAAAATTCGATTAGCGTATCAGAACGAATAATCGAAGATTCGAATTCCATACCAGTTTGTTACATTCTATTACTCTTATAAATGATAATTTCATCTCTTGTCCTTCCAGCTATGGGTTAAATAGCAAGGAAGTCTAGTCTTTGTGGCTGTGATTGGCAACCAGTCTAGGAGAAGAACAGCGCTTAATTTAAAACTATATGGTTCCCTGGTTAAGCACATACTAATATCATAACATTGTCATGAATATCTTTATAGAAAATGCACATCGAAGCTATGTTATGGAGTTGGAGAAGTGATCGAAGACGAGATGGCAGGTCAGGAACAATAATATTGCACGTTCTTTGGACTCTAGACCAGAGTTTCTCAACTAGGAGGCGCTTTCAGTGTTTCAGAAGGGGATCTTATACTTTTTCACAGGTTTCTTATTGACTGTAATGTTCAGTAATTCGGGAGAAACAAAAAAAAATAATAATGCTGACATACAACGTAATATCAAACCTATGACAGATAGATAGATAGATAGATAGATACGAAATAGAATGAGGTAGATAATTAACATACTGTGATAGATAGATAGATAGATAGATAGATAACATACTGTGATAGATAGAAAGATACTGTCTATATTTCTGAGATGAAGTATTATGTACATTATTTACATTATTCGGACTAGTCCGAATAATGTAAATAATGTATAATAATGTAAATAATGTATTGAAAGATACTTAACATACTGTTAGATAGATCGATAGATAGACAGATAGATAATTAACAGACTGTGATAGATAGATAGATAGATAGATAGATAGATAGATAGATAGATAGATAGATAGATAGATAGATAGATAGTTTTGAAATAGAATGAGATAGATATGAAATAGAATGAGATAGATAGATAGATAGATAGATAGATAGATAGATAGATAGATAGAAACAATACGATATTAAGAAAGTTAGGGGAGGGGATATATTTAATCAATCGTAACTCATGTCCTAGTGCGTTTAGCTCTCAAATAAAAAAAAATAACTCCGGTTTTCAAACAAATGCTCTTCTTAAGATACAATTTATTTTTTCTTCTGACTCATACCCCTGATGATGACTCATGTGAATCGAAAATATGGATCAGTATGAATTTTGGCCATTTTATATATGTTATTCGCATATTAGAAGAAAACGATCAATACAGTTGATATACATAATATGTCTATTCTTTTTTAATAAACGTTGGCTTGTGAATTTGGCGACATCCTATTTTTGAGATCAATCACTAAGGAAGACTCAGTGGTGACGTGGTAAGCAATAACTGAGAACTAGAGGAGATATCCCTAGATATTGTCAGAAGAACAAGAACAATATCACCCGCAGATTAAATAAAGTGTTCAGTTTGAAATTCCCTAAAGGTTACCCGAATTGACAAGCATCTGATAATGGTCGTATGATACACAGCCGGCAAAGATAAGAAAAACAGTCTGTGTATAAATAATTATAATCACTCATCCCATAAATCCAGATAATATATATATATATATATATATATATATATATATATATATATATATATATATATATATATGTGTGTTTGTATGTGTGTGTTTTTAGATATATATGTGTGTGTTTGAATGTGTGTGTTTATATATATATATATATATATATATATATATATATATGTGTGTGTGTGTGTGTGTGTGCAGATAGATATATAGATAGATACTGACCGATCAAGAGAGGAGACAAACAAACGTAGCAAATGACTGACAGTAAATGATACAGTGTGGCAGGAATCTGAACAGACTGAGATAGATAGATAGCTAGATAGATACATAGATAATTAACATACTGTGATAGATAGATAGATAGATAGATAGATAGATAGATAGATAGATAGATAACATACTGTGATAAATATATAGATACTTAACGTACTGTGATAGATAATTAACAGACTGTGATAGATAGATAGATAGATAGATAGATAGATAGATAGATATGAAATAGAATGAGATAGATAGATAGAGAGATAGAGAGATAGATCGATAAATACAGACTGAAACAGATAGATAATCTTATGTTTGTTTCAAATTTTAAAAAATGCTACGATATCTTGGCTCGAACTGTCCATTACTCACTTTCTAAGCTTGTCAGAGGTCAAAAGCGATTATGCGGTGCGGCCTTATGGGTGATGAATTGTTTTCCACCCTACAATCACTTTCCCACAGATGAATCGCCGCAGTTCTCTCGCTAATCTGTCACTATTTCTATTTTCCTGTAAAGAAAATCAGATGAGCTTCATTCCTTAGTTTCACCAGTTCAGACCTTTACGAAGACGAAACTATGCCATGTACACAGAATCAAACATGACCTTGGGTTTTTGACTAGAAAAAAAAAAAAAATCCATTCGAATAGCTTGTACCCAAGATCTCCTAGTTTCAGGAATGCACTCCCAAGACGATATGCTTTAGATCTCTCCAATATAAACCTCTTCCCGTCTAGGTTCAATCGTTTATTGGTCCTGCATATTCCCATAATGTGGTCATGCTTCTTCCTCTTGCCACAACCTCATTCAGTAAACTCTACCTTGAGTGCCTTTTAGGTCTTGCATAGAGTGAAATTTTATTAAAAACTAATTAGAAAAGACCGATATGAACAAATTGATAGATAGGAAGGAAATAATTAAGAGAGGGTATCGAATGTTAGCAAGATTTATTTCGAAATGTTAGCATCACGTGGTGTTTTCTGCAGCGAACAAGACAAACAGTAGATGACTGCAGGATCACAGGAGATTTATTTGCTCGATTTTTCTAAAACTATTTATGAGTCATTCGATTGTCTCTTGTTGATTTTACGGCATCTGTTTGTTCAATGACCGGCTAGCCCGATTGCCCGAGAAACCGAAAAGAAAAGTTTAAATATCTATTTTTAATTTGAATAAATAAAGCTTTTCTGTCTACAACAGCTTGTCAAACTATTCAACTAATCGCGGAATACATATATATATATATATATATATATATATATATATATATATATAAATAGCCTGACGATTCACGTAGGTGAAACCTTGGTAGGTTTGTCTGGCTCTTTAGGTTCATAGTTACATTTTCTCTACTTAGTGTATTGAGCACTTTATTTAGCTACTTTTGTTTTACTCGTTTTGGAGGTTTTTTTTCTTTGGACTCTAAACTTGGATTCTGGACTATTATTTTCTTAGTTCTTTCATTTTTGTCCCTTATTTTTCCTTGGGTATTGGTTTGTTCATTTTTAGCCAAATCTCCTAAGGTTTTTCCAGACGAGTATAATTACTTATATATATATATATATATATATATATATATATATATATATATATATATAATAAAAATTCCAAAATCACCTCATGTGGGGAACAGCCTATTTCGACAGACGAAGATATCGGTCGACTGTCTTATCAACCCCGGTGCTGACTGAGTTCGTGAATGAGAAATTATTTGGTCTGTAATAATAAATACATCCTAAAAGCCAGAGGCGACAGACTGTTCAATGCTAAACACAATCGTCACGCCATCTAACTATTGCGTTTTACATGAAACAGACTGTTGGTTCGGATGTTTACTTCAATGTCCACTTTTATATTTACATACGCTCTCTCTCTGATATTGAGCGCATACATATAGAATAAATTAAAATTATATATATATATATATATATATATATATATATATAAATATAAATAAATATATATATATGTATAATTATTTATATATTATATACGGTACTTATATATATATATATATATATATATATATATATATATATATATATATATATATATATATATATATATATGTGTGTGTGTAATGATCCAGTCATTCTTATCAAATCGTGAAAGTCTTTTTTGTCCTGTTACGTTTTTGTCGAACTGATGAAATTTGCCACGATGTCAGTCGAATTTAGGCAAGTTGATGGTGCTTCGATGGGTTTGGGGAACCATTTTCGCAAATATATTTGTTGGGTTCCAAGAAGAGAGTATGTTATTGAAACGTAACAAACCAGACGCTTATTCCCGTTACGTTGATGACACCTTTTTGTCTTTTCGATAACGAGATTGGTTTGACCAATTTCTTATGTTCCTTAATAATATGCATCCAACTTTAAAATTTACACAAGAAATATTAATTCATCTCTTCCCTTTCTTAATGTTTTTGTTAAATCTTCGCCGGATTTGTTATTTCTGTTTATCGTAAACCGAGGTTTACTGGTTTATATACCCGTTGGGATTCTTTTTGTCCCATGGAAACGTAAAATTAATTTAATTAAACCCCTTACCTATAGGGCTTTTATGATCTGTTCTAAAATTCAGTTGGATGATGAACTTAGGTTTATTACTACTACTTTCTGTAACAATGCCTATCAATTGGGTATTGTTCAAGCAATAATTAAAAATAAAATTGCTGAATTCAATAAAGTTAAACCTGCTATAGTACAAAAATGTCCTGTGTGCCTGTACCTTCCTTGGCTGGGTAATATCAGTGATAGATAGGCTAAGCAGGTTTCTGTAGCAGTTCGACATTGTTACTTTGCCGCTAACACACGTGTGGTTTTCTCTGCCAAGCCTGTCCTTCCGTCTATGCATAAGGACGTTCTCCGTCCACATCATAATAGTTTTTAATTTATTCCATGTAAATGTAGTTGTAACTCATACTACATAGGCAGAACGATTCAAAGGCTGGATGTCAGAATAAAGCAACACGTTCCAATGAAAATCCGCAATCTTAAGTACACTCCTTTAGACATTCTGACCAATACATCCGGGTCTTCCATTGCAGAACACATAATAAATAGCCATAATTGTGCTACTAGTTTCGTTGGGGACGCATTTATCATTCTTAGCAAGTCCCACTCAAATTATCACTTGAAAATGTTGGAGGCCATTTATATTTTATCGTTGAAGCCCTCTCTGTATAAACTGAATGACTTCGTACTGAGCTTCCAAATAATTTCCATCTAAGCAATATATTTTTTCAATACATATTGTCCATATTTTTTTAGTGATAATTCTTTTTAATTTCACCTCGATTTAGTTCTGTTGAGTGATATTCGAAATCGGTTAGCTAGCCCGTTTTTCAGTTTTACTTTTTATCTATTATCCCCATGAGTGATAATAAATATAATTTTTGTCTTTTTATGGTAGTCATATATATATATATATATATATAATGCATATATAAATAAATAAAAATGCCAAAATTAACCCGTGGTTCGATACAAGTAACTCCTTGTATTTTAAAGTATCTTATACAATTTCCCAAAAAGGTAGACATGACACGTTTCATACAGAAAAGCCCGTATCGGCAAGCAGAAATTACATACCCAAACCAAAACATTTTTCACTTTTCCATCTTAGATTAGATCTGTTCCCTGAATCGTCAAAATAGACAACACCCATTTAAAATTTTGAAGTCTCATCCCCACTCCAACTGAAACTCTTAAATATAATACTACTTTGCTTAAAAAAGTAAATCATCTTTTTCTGAAGTTATTCAACATATCTTGGAAAATGGAACAAAAACTTAATTTTGATTTTTTTTACTTCCGAAACATAGTAATTTATGTGTCACGGTGAAAACATATTTTAAATAATAATATTATAACACACACATTATATATATATATAGCCGCTTGAACCGGCTTCTAATGCTCTAGATTGAGCGGCTTGGTGAGAGTAGTCGTGGCTCCAGGGGGCACAGTCCTATGGTAACAGAGAACGTAGTATGGTTCCGCCACGGAATATGTGAGCGAGCGGCGCTATATTGTGTCTGATTTGCAATCTCACCGAGGGCCATTGGAACAGTTGGTATGATGTTTGCTTGACAACCTAACTGTCAGGGTTTCAATTCTTGGTAGTGGATGCGCACTGCTGATGAGTCCCAAATATAGGACGAAACGATAGAGGTTTCTATCAGACTCGATGAATTAATTAAATATAATTATCAAATCTTCCTAATTACTATATATATATATATATATATATATAACAGGCATGCCCACTTAATAAAAAAGTATCTACTAGGTATAATATATATTTTATACACGCACACACCTATATGTGTATGTGTGTCTGTGTAAAAAACATGTACTATATTTAGGGGAGACAAGTGTTTATTGGTTGGTAGATTTTAATTTCACAGCTTTTTTGCACAGTGAAATTAACTTTTAACTGCCTTGCGATCGAATATCTCATTAAAGAAAATCTGTCCCTCGCCACCTGACTGTGACTTCCGACCAGAGGGTATGAACTTTTCTGCCTATAAATCTCATTAAAGAAAATGTCCCCCCCCCATGACTTTATTGTGACTTTCGAACCGGAGTTATAGACATTTCTTTCTATAAATCTCATTAAAGGAAAATGCGCACCCGACTTTATTGTGACTTCCGACCCGAGGGTATGAACTCTTTTGCTTATAAATATCATTAAAGTAAAACGTGTAAACCGACTTTATTGTAACTTCCGACCAGAGGGTATGAACTTTTCTGTTTATAAATCTCATTAACGAAAATGTTCTCCCCGATTTAATTATGACTTTCGATCTCTATTTGAATGGTTTGTTGAAATCAAGGAATGGGAAAGAAATTTGCTACCGGCGCTGTCGCTGTTACATTTACATTTTCTTTGTAAAACCCCACTGGTTCTTGGTTGTGGGTACAAGATATGAAAACTACTCACCGGCAGTAATCTGCGCCTGCTATGTTACAAATAGCCATGCTGTGATCTGTTTTTATGCTACAATTAGTATTGTGTTTAACTGTCGAATTGGATATCCGACAGGCCCGTTGTAAACCTTTGAGTTGAAAACGAATTCGAATCACAAGTCTGTTCTGACGATAGAAAACAATAATTTATTATTGGCATTTGCTAAAAAAATCCGTTTTCTCCCTTTTTTGTTTATGGCTAGAGCGAACGGTAGTTTTTGCACAATAATTTCTTTTCCTTTCAGGCCTTTTGCTATGAACGGTCAGTCACCGTTCTTTCTTTTAAGTCAGTTTCTTCTTTTTGTTTTTTTAACTCAA